TGCACCACGTGGAGGTAAGTCTATCGCACACCCCATTGTAATAAATATTGTTCATTCCATAATACTGTTGAGATAACTTAGCTAATTTCGCGATTGATTTTATACCAGGGTATTTTGTCAGAAGAGATTGTAGAGGGTTCGTCAATGCAGGTTTCTTTTTTGTATTTGCTTCCAGTTCAGTTGGTCTTTTCTAATTCTCTGACCTTTCCTTCTTCTTCAACTAGCCCAAATGAACTATTAACTACCCTACTAATCCCACCTCCTTATATATTTTCTCATAGTCATAGTCATAGTCTATTAACCGGCAGTTGACTTCCGACTCCAAGCTACCATCACCCCACTGTATGTCAAATTCGACTACTTCAACCGTACTCACCTCACCTTTTTCCCAACTCCGTGTCTGTCTCTTTTACATCTTTGAAATACTCTTCTGGCCCCCCCCCCATCTCGACCTTTTTCACTTTGATGTTCCTTCCCATCTGTGAAGTTTGAAGTCAACGAAAGGGCTAATGATAACTATCAAAACGCCTGCCATTTAATATAAATAAATATATATTTTCCCGAGATGGAAAATTTCAATTATCTATTGAGTCAAAATGAGTCCATCTAGAATAATATTGAATTGCGTTTATAAACTAACTTGCAGGCTATATGAACCAAATCTCTTATTCAGTATATTGGATCTCGTATTTAGTTTCTCTTCAATGATAATTAATTGAAAGCGTTTTAAACTCACGTGGAGTAATAGTAAAAGGATTTTTTGAACGTGGCTTGATAAAAGAAAGCGAATAAATAGAGCAAAGACCAATCATTTAACCCACCCAAGAATCAGCCCGTCAAATTGTGCAAATTAATAGCTGGAATGTCAAGAAGTTGACCTCTACCAATGGAGAACATGGAAACTTCGTTGCTTCTGTTTTCGAAAAATATTATTTATTTATTACAAATGGCAGGCGTTTTGATAGCTATCATCAGCCATTTAGCTGACTTCGGGCTTTACAGGGGGAAGGTTCATCAAAGTAGAAGAAAGTCGAGGGGTGGGGAACAGAAGAGCGATTCACAGATGTAAAAGAGGCAGACAGACACAAAGGTAAAGAAAAAGGTAAGATGAGTAATGTGGAAGGGGTCGAATATGACAAGCGGTCGGGCCATGGTAGTTTGAAGTTAAAAGACAAATGCCGGTTAATAGACTTTTTTGCCGTATGAGTATGCGTTGCCCAGGGTGCACTACGTGGGGGTAAGTCTATCGTACACCCCGGTTTCGAAAAATATAATCCTCTTGCTATTTTCACCCTATTTGGGATGTATTCCGTGATTAAAACTTCAAAATGAGGCCAATTATCATCATGTGCTATTAGCATATACTTTACATATTAATATTAATCAGCGAGTCTAAATCTGCTCAAATAAAAATTTAGCTTCATTCATATTCTTTTTTTACGATTAGTCAAATAAAACCCAAGGCATTGCACGAGTCTTTTGTTGCAATTAACAATTTGGTAGATCAACACTTTCCTTGATATTTATTATTATTATTATCTTTTTTTATCAAAATTGTCGTTTTCTTCTAAGGAATACTCATTTGACGAGAGCAAATTTGGTTGGAATGGATTATTACGGGGATTTTATAAGCGTAGCTTATGCTTGCATTGATGTGCTCGAATGCTATAGAAGTGTTGCAGATGTACCAAAAAGTCAAGAAGCTGAGGTGGAATGGTACACTTGCATTCGGTCCACTATTGAAAATGTTCAAGATAGAACTGTAAAATTTCAACTGAAGTTAACCAATTTGCATCCTTTTCACACTTTAGCTAATGAAGACAGAAGTTCATCAATTACCTCCATAGAGGCATGTGGATTACTCACTGCTTTTATTATTAAGTTGGAAGAACTTAATGTCATTTTAAAGAAAAAAATTATTAGCAACAAACGTGCTCACGATTTCTATTTAAGTAATATATTTAATAACTTGTGCAACTAAAAGCCATTCATAGGAAAGCACTCCTTAACAATTTTCCCATTCTTTAACAATTCGCGCTTGGTAAAATTAAATGCGAATAAAGGTATATATGTGGAAATTTTTGCATTTTTCGCTATTCTATGTCCAAAATGTGCTTTCTTCTGTCTTTTCGCCTAAGTGGAGGCGGGGTGGAGAAGAGGGAAGTTGGCGAATTCTTGGAGTTGAACTAAGATGATAATAGTAACAATTCGTTTTTTATTGATTGATCGTTTGAGATTTATTCATGATGTCACATAAATTTATATGTATGACATCATTTCCATCGATGTATGCGCATGCTTATGCATTTTCACCAGTAACTAGAAGGGTGTAGAAGGAATCGAAAAGGAATTTCGAATAGATACAAAGTATTTGGAATTGATTTGATATCTGTATGGTTTTCATTTAATAATTAATTTTATTGCATTATGATATATTATTATGTGTTCAAATTTTGTAAAAGATTTAATGCCTTTATTAGCAGTAGATAGTGTCGAATGTGTTGGACCTCTGCCTCTGATACACCATGATCACTATTTTGATGAAATCTGATGACCTATGTGAGAATCGAATATGAACAAAGACCAGTTCAGTTGGATTGAACTAATACTTTGAGATTCTCTAGACATCATAATGATTGCGAGAACTAGCTAAAGCTGGGTGAATGAAGTCAGAGGGAAGATGTTGCACAACTAGAATAAGTTTGAGTAATGAAATAAAAAATCTCGTGAAATATGTATACATGCTGGGATGATTCAGCGGGAGTTGACACTACTACGCATAGTCGCATTAATAAGTACAGCTAAAAATTTGCCATTGGCGGTAGAAGATTATGCATATGCGTTCATTATTTTTCTTGTGGCCACTGCCTATCTGAATGGTATTGGGAAATATACTTAAGCGATGGAGTTGTTAAAAGAGCTGCAGAATGCGAACAATACTACAAGATTGAACTGGGCTTATTTAATTCCTTAAATTAAAATAACATATCCTGCATTTACCCTTTAGAAAATTTAAATGTAGTTCCATATATAAAAAATTTTCAAACAAAAACTGTCATTTTCAAATAAATTAATTTTCTAAAAACTAACCACTTTAATTAAAATTAGCTCGAATATGAAATGACTCGGATATGGACAAGAATAATAGTTGGGAATATCAATGTATCTATTTTCAAACACTATTCTTGAATAATAAGTAAATATTTATGGACGCATTGAATTTGAACTTTTAATTCGTTTTTGCCATTAAAAGTTTTGTTTATCAAGTTAACTCTTTACGATTCCATACAATTGATGATTTGTTTGTCTACACTAATTTCATTTGAATATATATACTTGAAAATTAACTCAAATCAATTTAGTATCTTATATAAGTGGAATTCTAATTAATAGATTTGGAATTTGACATTATCTTATAATTTTTCATCCAAGAATATGTTGACTACCACAGAGGCTACAGGTGATTGTTATCCTCTTAATATGGGTGTCAGCAATGGATTTACGAAAGCGTTACCTATACTTCAAAAAACAAGTTCGATAAACAGGGAAGAAGTGAAAATAACTAAGTCTGAAAACGATAACCGGTTGTATCGTGTTGTTACTCTTCCAAATCGGTTGACGGTTCTTTTAATAAGCGATTCTCAAGCCGATAAGGCAGCAGCATGCCTGGCTGTCGCAGTTGGCAGTTTTTCTGACCCAGTTGAAATACCGGGCTTAGCTCATTTTTGCGAGCACATGATCCTTCTTGGAAGTGAAAAACATCCAGAAGAAAATGGTTACGCGAAGTTCGTCACTTCACATTGCGGATCAGTTAATGCATTTACGTCCCCCACCGAAACTTGTTACGTTTTTGATGTTGCTCCTGAGTATTTGTTCGAATCTCTGGAAAGATTCTCGAATCTTTTTGAATCTCCTCTTTTCACTGAATCTGCGACTGAACGTGAAGTTAGTTGCGTCTAATTATTTGCATTAATTTTTTTCGGTTGATCATGAAAAATGTACTTTTCAAATAGGTCAATGCAGTTGATTCAGAGCATGAAAAGAATTACTCTTCCGATAATCGTCGAATTATGCAGGTTGACAAACTTTTGTCATCGCAGATCCATGACTATGCCAAATTTTCCACTGGCAATAAGATGACTCTGTTTGATAATCTAAAGGAGAAATCTATTAATGTTCGAGATGAATTAGTCAAATTTCATGCCAACAATTACTCTTCAAATATTATGACTGTGACGATTATTTCTAATGGTATGCCACTTTTTTATGGAATAATTAATTATTAATTTTCGTATTTTATGTTTTTTTGCAGAATCTTTGGATGAAATGGAGAAGAAATATGCACCGCTGTTCATTAATATTCCAAATCTTAACATTTTACCCAAAACTTGGTCCTCAACACCTTGGACGAAAGAATGCCTGCAGGTGTGTGAATCATATTTCATCTTGATTTCTTTTCTTTAAGAATTTAGGTAGAATAATTCATTATAATCGGAAAGTGTTCTTCTATGAATTTCAATAAATTTTTTTATTTACAGAAGAAAATTTCCATTGTTCCGGTTAGGGACACAAACGAACTACGTCTACTATGGCCAATAGCAGACCATACTGAATTTTACAAAGCGGCGGTAAATCCAAATTTTATTAATAATAACAATAACTAATAAATACTGCTACTTGGGCCATCATAATTATTCGATTAGGATAGGAAGATAACTTTAAGATTTTGGATAGGCAGAATTTAAATCACTCTTTTTTACCTTTTAAGCCTATGAATCTGAACTTCGAAATTGGGCTAAATTGCAATACTATCCACTGGATTGCTTAGTTATTGATTTACTCATGTGTGTGTGTGTGTCGGTGCGTGTAAGGCTAGTGTGCATTTTACCCTCCGCAAACATGGTTGAGGACATAGTTTGAGGTGAAGGCAGAGAGGTAATCAGCTCAATAGGATGTGTACCTGTTCTATTACTACCTTCTCAAAAAAAGTCCTTTGAAGACGCAGAGATACAATTGAGCACTTCCGTCTTCTTCAAAAAATACTCCACCTGCAAATTGTGCACTTTAGATAAATGTTAGCCACGTTAGTCTCTCTCCACGTTAGTTCAAAGGCATTCTCGCATTCCATTGTTTTGGCAGAATTCCCTTGACGGTGGATTTAATACTTTTAGAGAGATGTTTTGCTTGTTCGTATTATTCTACTCGTAGTCATAGGTGTGAGAAGTATAAAGCGATTCAATTACTTTAGTCTGTGGCCTTGGAAACGCCAGGACGGGAGATAGAAGTTTACCAAATTTCAAGAGCATAAAGTAGTTCAACAACCAATGTGTCTTAGTTTTTTAACGTACTAAAACGCTAACGATCAACTTCGATGGCATTTTTTCCATGCATTTATTGCGAGAATGACGTCTTTATTTTAGCCCACAAACTACTTAACTCATCTACTGGGCCACGAGTCTGCGGGGAGTTTGTTGAGTGAATTGAAGCGACAACAACTTGCTACTGCCTTGGTGACGGAGTCTTTTCGACCAGGCTCTGGGTTTGCCAGCATCCTCCTTCATATTGAACTTACCGATCAGGGTATTGGTAAGTCCATCTGGTTTAGTAACAGTTATCTTAAAAAAGATAACTTAGGATGTTTTCTTCCATTTAAGATTAAGGTGTTTTTTGGTTCTAATAATGATGATTCTAATTGAGAGATTCTAATAATACTTCTAACTTACTCTAATCAAGGTATCAGAGGTTACTGCTGGCTTATGAAATTAGAATTTAAATCTTTGTTATTACCTGTAATATTGGCATTAAACATGTTTCGAAAATTCATTCCTCTTGGGGGAGTCAAATACCACTACATATTTTACTCTCGTCATGCTGTCAGAGGTAGATGCTATCTATTTACGGCTTAGACTATTGGCTATTGGATGGTGAAGTCTTGTCCTATGGCTAGAATGGTGATTACTTGGCTCCTGGCACTCAATTCACTTGTGTGTGTGTGTGTGTGTATGTCCTTTCACGAACGAATACTAGCAATCGTTTCCTGCTTCGTAATCACTAAATATCACAAGTCCGTTATGAACTCTTTTTTGTAGTGAAAGCGATTAGCTTAAACTGCTGTTACTCCTATTCAATCTCCGCCACAGAGTCCTTGATTAATTGCTATATAGTAAA